ATCATTTGTGGGAAAATTCTACTTCTACCAGTCCTTCATCACCTTAAACGAAATTGGCTGAATACATCTAATAAGCTAATTTCATTTTCATCGCCTCCGATCTAAAAGACCTCGAAATGTCCGCCTTCAGAATAGGTTCAGGATCAAAACGGGGCCAACTGAACTCAGTGAACTCCCTCCACTTCCACCAGACCACATTGCTTCTTCTCGGCCTTGTTCACGTCTCACCAACAGTACCATCCATCAGACGCCAATTGCCTCTTGGACAACGAGAGGCATTCCAACAAAGTAAAAATATATGCGAATAAAATTTGGGTTTCAAATAATCTCTTGTTTCATAATTGTTGAGATTACTTTCATTTCGAGTGAAAGTAGTTGGTGAAAAGCTTGGAAGGTCAATCCTTCCAGAAGACGACGGCGGATTCCACTTGACCGGCTGTCGAATGACTTTACTGGAACATTCTTGTTGATGCTGTTTACGAGGCAATCTCCTTCGATTCCGGTGATTAATCAAAAAAGCTTAGCACCTCTTCACCGGAATCGAATGAAATTACCTCAGAAACAGCGTCAGCATGAATCTTCCAGTAAAGCTAATCGACAGCTGGTCGTCTTCTGGTGGAACCGACCTTCGAATCTCTTCACCAAACACTTTCACTCCAAATGAAAGTAGGCTGAATATCTTCCAAATAGGTTGTAAAACCTTTTATTTCGCATAAATGTGCATGACGAAAAGATTCGTTACTTAATCTCACCAACAGCTGACAGCTGATTCTGGTTGTTTCGCAGTCATTTGGCTCTAATACAAAGTCAAGGCAGCTAAAACGGCATCCTTCTTGAAATGAGGGAAGATGTCTCATCGACAGCGTCAACGTTAACATTCAGTCAAATCCAAACGGCTACCTGACAATGGCAATTAGCCGTTGTCTTTGGGCGAATGTGTTCTACGTCTCTCACTACCCTGCATTTTGATACCAAATGAAAGTTTCCACAACAATGCTATCTCAGGACATCCATCAAAGCTCACCTATTCTTCGTAACTACACAATTCAACAATCTCAACTATGATATCTCAGCTACGGCGGTCCTGGCATCATAAATGACTGCATTTGTTTAAATCTTAGCACTACGAAAAATGCAATTACTAACACACGTCACCATAGCCACCTCAGTCACATCCCTTCTCTCTGGCTCCTGAGGCTCCAATGAATCTTGATAAAGACACACCTTGGCACTTTTCTTTATAACCCATTAATCCTACTCCACTTGGACTGTCAAATGACCATTTCGTCTCTTCGCAGTCTGGCTGGTCCTCAGTTATCGACATTTATTGAGAAGGTAACAGACACTGTTTCTTGTTGAGGCTGACTTGCATAACACAAGAAAAAAAAGACGAAGAAAAGTTGGGTTTCGAGGAATCTCTTGTTTCATAATCGTTGAGCCTACTTCCATTTCGAGTGAGTGTTTTGCGTGAAGAGATTCGAAGGTCGGTTTCACCAGAAGACGACTGCCGATTCCTGTCGATTGGCTTTACTGCAAGATTCATGCTGACGCTGTTTCCGAGGCAATCTCTTTCGATTCCGGTGAAAAGTTACTAAGCTTTCGTCCGTCATATGACGAACAGCATCAGAGCAAGTTATCATCTTCAAAACCAAATTCAAGCAAACGAGTCAAGAACGAGTTTTCTTCTGAACGAAAACTTGTTGGGCATTCTTCCATTTCGAGTGAAAGTGTTGGGTGAAGAGATTCGGAAGTCGGTTCCACCAGAAGACGACGGCAGATTCTTCTTGACCAGTTGTCGATTGGCTTTACTGGAACATTCGTGCTGAAGCTGTTTCCGAGGCAAACTTCTTCGATTCCGGTGAAAAAGTGCAGAGCTTTCGTCCTTCATGCGACGAACATCGTCACATACAGACCGACAAAGGTTAGCAAAGTAGTAGTCTAATTATGCTGAACACTAGTTACCGCGTGGGATGGATCTAAAGCACGTCAGTTTTGGCGTTGGGGATTCGGGGTAGACACGCAACACGTGCATAATTACATCGTAAACCGCTCAATTCGCCTGAGCTGCAGGTCTTTCTGCATGGCAGGGAGGCGGAAATCTCGATGGAAATAAATATATGAAGTTCATTTAGGCTTTTGGTGAACCAATTAGAACAGAGAAAGAGGAACAAATTAATTTTTTTTTGGGTAGTTGAAAAAAGCCTAAATCAAATTGCTCCTGACTAGAAACTTGCGATTGGCAATTACTTTAAATAAATTAGCAAAGCTGGCCATCCAAGCCTTCTGATGCAGACGCTCTCGTGGTTTGCATTACACTCAGAGAAAGCGAGTAACAACATGCAAGTGGATTATGTAATGAAGAGGCAAAACCCCGAGGCATCAACATTTTGGGGTGACGCAAAATTGGTCTTAAATGGCAGGTGTGATGGGAAGGGAGTAGGATAGGTAGATATGTGGACAAGTAAACGGGGAAGGAAGCTATGAAGGCAGGGATAAATGGGAGAAAAATGACGGTAGGTGGGCAGGTAAGTGAGACGAAAGTCAGGTAAATGACCAGGTAATTGGTAGAAAATTTGCGAGCTGGAAGGGAGACAGGTGGTGAGATAAAGGCTTCATAACCTGGACAGGAATTTTGGAAGGCGGCTGTAATATTAAAGCTTGGAAGTTAATAATAGAAGATGCTCGTGGGGCGAAGAAGTAAGAGAGGAAGATGATTTTTAGGGAAGAATTTCGGGCAGCTAGTGTGCTAAAAGCAAAGCTGAATAGGATAGAGAGGCAGAGAGGATTCGGGGATAGAAATTTTGACAGGTATGACATAAGGTACCAATGTAACGTCGATAAACAGACAGATTGACGGTTGAAAGGGAAGTAAGGTTAACGTAGATATATAGTTGAGTGGATAGTCTGATAATTAGCCAGTTTGGCAAATTGGTGACTGGGTTGAAATAAAAGAGGTGGAGTCAGGTCGGTAAGTCAAAAGACAGGTAAACAATATATTCAGGGATTTAGCCCAATGATTCGTTATTATGCGAAGTAGCCAGCAATGTGTGTATGCACAAATCTACGAAAATAGATATGTATGGGTTTATATTGACAGATAGGTAGCTAGGTTGTTATGTGTTTGTGTGCGTGTTAGTTGAAAAAGGGTGGGTAGTTTGGTAAATAATTGGGTAGATAGATGGGTAGATGGGTTGTTGGATAGACGGATTTATAAATATATATAAGTAGGTAAGTAGCCACGTCGACAGGTGGGTCTGTAGATAGTAGGTAAGTAGGAAGTAGGAAAGGTATATATATATATATATATATATATCCGTGTCTACAAAGCTAGCTAATTAGTTATATATTTGGGTAAGTAGATGGATAGTGATTTATATAGTGATAGAGAAAACATACGGTACATACGTTTTTAGGACGGGATATAAGTAAGTTGCTCGGCCGATAGGTAAATATGTGATGACGGAGGCATGTATTTCGGTTGCTCAGCAGTTAATTCGGTAAAACGGTAGCCGCCATTCATGGGAAAAGCATACACTTGAGTAAATATGTAAATTGGTAGACTGCTTGATTGATATCTTAGCGTTACATTAAGCCTCCAAAAATTAATTTAAACCAAGAATTATGATGACCAATAACCTTGTACCCAATGCGTATGCATAGTAAGTTACACCTCTCTTTTGTGGTTGTCTCAGCAACTGCATGTTTCTTAATAATTCCAACTCTCGGTTGCTGTTTTACTTTAACATTGTGCCCTCAAAGTAAGTTCACAGGTTAGTGGGCGCCATCTTAAAATCGTACATCTCATCCTGTGAAGATACTCTTAGCTTAACTTAGTTGAGGGATTATCTTCTATGGTAACTCGAATCGCTTCTTGTTTGAAGCAGTTTGGAACTGTTCGAATGTGCAATCTGCCCATCTAAATTCGGAATACGATGGGCAAACTCGCCGTCATATGAAAGCCACTTCAAGCGCAGACTTGGCCAACGACGCATGACCAATTCGGCCAGCTTGACCTCGAGCATAGGGTCACAATATGAGGTGCAGTCTGGAAACTCCGCTTCTAAACTCAAAGTAGGGTCACCATTTCGCATAGTTGGAGGACCACGAGGACGAGGAGGACGAGGAGGACAAGTCAGAGCTTCAGCAATCCGCCCAAAGGAGGCACTTTTGCAAGAACAACGGCCATCATCCAATCCACTTGTAGCAAAACATGACTCACAAAATATTGCTCCAACCAAGTTGACATGAACAGTCTCTGAGAGATGACACCAAACTTGATTGACGGCCCAAATCCACTTGTCTTGACAACACATTTTTGTCTTTATATATATCTAACATACATACATACATACATACATATATATATATATATACATAATAATTATTTTCATATTTTTAACACTTGCCCTTTGACGCTGCAGCCCGCCGAGGCCGACACTGCTTGCGTCTGCGGTGAGCTGCTGCCAGGCCCGAGGCCATCGTCGTATCCTTCGGGGGCGGCGTGTGGTGGGGCCGACTTGCGACGCGCAAGAGGCCAGGTCCGAGTCCCGACGACGAATAGTAAGACCGATGTGGGTAGCTGTGGTTGAGTTGAAGTTGGCGCTGTTGCTGGGGCGGCTGTTGCCCCGACCGATGATAGGGGCCGACTCGGAGGCCGGAGGTGGGGAACTTGGCGACGGAGAAGAAGGTCTTGGGCTTCGGCTTGCCCGGTCTGAGCATTGCTGCCGAGGCCGGCTCGGGGCCGGCGTCTGTGCAGACAGTGTCTCTGGCGCCTGAAGGAGCCTGGAACATCGAGCCCGGCGACAAGCTCGAGACTCGCAGCTCGGCGGACTGGCAACGGGCTGCTGTCGCGACCGGAAGACGGCAACGAACCGGCGGAGAGAAGATGTGTTCGGCCGGCTCAGAGGCGTCTGTCACCATTTTGGAGCTGAGCATCGGATGAGCTGTCGGCTCGAGGCCCGCGTCCGGCTGAGCCCGACGCCGTGCACGAGGACACGAGGTAGGCAGGTGCGGTCGGATAGAAACGGTGCACGACTCGACAGCACCGGCAGTTATGCCGTCTCCGGCAAGGGTGGCAAGTTCGAGTCTGCCGTTCGGCCGAAGCGAATGCGGCGAGGTGGTCGGGAGACGTGGACTAAGTGGGCGAAATGGGCCGAGGCCGGCCGAAGCGACGAGCTGGTGAGGCGAACACGTGGACGGGGCCGACGAGAGGCCGAGTCATCCGGTTGTCTGGCCGACGGAAGACCGAGTGTCCGAGTGAAAGTCGGATGAAGACGGGCACTGAGTCCGGCCGGCCGGGTGGAGGCAACGAGTTGAGCTCGGGCAAGGGGAGCCGGTGACTGGGTGAATGAGGCTAGACGGTGCGAGAGAGCGCAGGATTACGGTGAGACGAGAAGAGGATAAGAGACATGTCGACAGAGTCCGGAGGCGAGGCTACAGGGGCAAACTTTGCCTTGACTGGCATATTTTGGTATACACGAGCTCAACAATGTACACATTTATATCGGTCTGAATGTGTGTATGCTTGAGTACACTTCATCAGTCGAGAAAGCAAAAGAGAGAGAGAGAGAGAGAGAGAGAGAAAGAGAGCGAGAGAGTGAGGAAGAAGGAGAGGTACAGCGGGAGAGGACGGAGAAATAGGAGGGTAGAATGCTTATGCCGGAATAGCAATCGTCGGGCCGCCGGAAAGACAGCTTGTCTGTTGGCCTGTCTGTTGGTCAGGCAAACAGACAGACAGAAACTTAGTCGAATCACATGCCTAACCGGCTGAGTGGAGGATTGGAGAGTTTGGTAGATAGATAGACTGGTGGAGTTATTCAAGGGTTGCATGAAATGTTGATGGATGAATGTAAAAATGAATAGACATTTCTCGATCGGATGATGGTTGATCAAGCTGATTCCGTTGATGTCATGACCTGTAATGGCTGGAGAAGGGGGTAGGAGATTAAGCTGAGGCTTTGAGCCAGGGAAAGGGAGAGGGAGAGGGAGAGGAGGCGTCTGAAAGGGGTAGGTGAGTATAAATGAGTTGAGGGAAAGGAGGGTGAGAGTATGAAAAGGGCGAGAGTGATGTAGATAAACGAGAAGCGAATGCGAGTACGTGATCAGATTGCCTTCAACGTCTAAAAGAGCACAAGACAGAGCCTAAAAGACTAAGAGGAGAGTAGCAGAATGGATGCCTTTAAGGGTGTGGACAATGAGAAGATAAAAATAAAAGTAGATCAGGAAATAGAAGGGTCAGATATCAAGCAAAAAATTCGAAAATGGCCTAGAACTTTACAGACCGAGACCGACAGACGGATCAACAGAAAGTCGGGCCTACAGACCGACAAATAACTAGACCGAAGACCGACAAATAGCTAGACAAACAGACCAACAAACAACTAGACCGAAGACCGACAAACAGCTAGACAAACAGACCAACAAACAACTAGACCGACAGACCGACAAACTAGACTGACAGACTGACAAACAATTAGACCGACAGACAGACAAACAATTAGACCTACCTAAAGACAAACAACTGGACCGACAGAACTACAAACAAATAGACCGACAGACCGACAAACAACTGGACCGACAGACCGACAATCAATAGACCTGCCTACAGACAAACAACAAGACCGACAGAACAACAAATAACAAGACCGACAGACCGACAAACAATTACACCGACTGATCAACAAACAACTAGACCGACAGACCGACATACAACTAGACGGACAGACCGAAAAACAACTAGACGGACAGACCGACAAACTAGACTGACAGACTGACAAACAATTAGACCGACAGACCGACAGACCGACAGGCAGACAAACGAATATACCTAATTAAAGACAAACAACTGGACCGACAGAACGACAAACAAATAGACCGACAGACCGACAAACAACTGGAGCGACAGACCGACAATCAAGTAGACCTACCTACAGACAAACAACTAGACCGACAGACCGACAGGCAGACAAACAATTATACCTAACTAAAGACAAACAACTGGACCGACAGAACGACAAACAACTAGACCGACAGACCGACAAACAACTCAAGCGACAGACCGACAAACGAGTAGACCTACCTACAGACAAAACAACTAGACCGACAGAACGACAAACAACTAGACCGACAGACCAACAAACAACTAGACCTACAGACCGACAAATTAGACTGACAGACCGACAGACAGATAAACAATTAGACCTACCTAAAGACAAACGACTGGACCAACAGAACGACACTCAACTAGACCGACAGACCGACAAACAACTGGAGTGATAGACCCACAAACAAGTAGACCTACCTATAGACAAACAACTAGACCGACAGACCGACAAGCAACTAGAACGACAGACCAACAAACAACTATACCGACAGACCGACAAACTAGACTGACAGACTGACAGACAATTAGACCGACAGACCGACAGACAGGCAAACAATTAGACATACCTACAGACAAACAACTGGACCGATAGAACGACTAACAACTAGACCGACAGACGACAAACAACTAGACCGACAGACCGACAAACAACTGAACCGACAGACTAACAAACAACTGGACCGAGAGACCGACAATTAACTATACCGACAGACCGGCAGAGGAGTAGATAGATCAGCAGAAAGACAATCCGAGAGATCGACAGAGCTTTGGATTGAATGAATGCCAAACAAGTTCGCCCTTTATTTGCAGTGTTAAGTGACATCGTGGACATTGTTCGTCCTTTGCCACTGACGTCATGACATTTCGCAGCATCGGATCAGAGATCAGGTACAATCTCAGACGTTTGCTCGACATTACGATCAGTCCTGGCAGCGAGAAGAGGCGTGGAAGGCGTCAAAGACTGCTACTGACACGTTGTCGCTGGGAGATCGTCACCACTCCCTTCGTGGGGCAATATGAGCTTAAAAGTCTTCGAAACGCCTTTCCACGATTCGGAAGAACCCTCCAATGGGGACAATCTTTTTACCAGCAAAGTACTCCTTAAGAGGCTTGCATCATTAGCCTCATTCTACAGAATTCTTTTCTGCTGTCTAAATGTCTATCACGTTAAAACAGACGATTGGATCGCAGGACGATGCGCTGAAGACATCTACATGCAAAGCAACTGTCAAAGCGCAAAGTCAAAATTCCTTCGGTTTTGGCAAGGCTCATCTATGAATCACTTTAATCTGCTTTTTAAAGCGAGCTGGAAAGTAAAAAAAACGTATATTTTGAGATATATTTCATACAGTTCATAAAATATATCCTGTCGATATAAACTTTTTGGAGCCCAGCACAGCAAGTTTGTGTAGATTTTACATTTTAATTAAGCTTTTGTATAAAACATATTCATTCAAGAATCTAATTCAGTTTGTAATACTGCTTTTGATTTACTTATGCTTATACAGAAGCTTACGCTTTTAACCTCAGTAACTTCAGGGTAGTTATCATATGCGAAGAAAAGTTGGGTTTCATAATCGTTGAGCTTACTTCCATTTCGAGTGAAAGTGTTAGGTGAAGAGATTCGAAGGTCGGTTCCATCAGAAGACAACGGCGGATTCCTCTTAACCAGCTGTCGATTGGCTTTACTAGAAGATTCATTATGACGCTATTTTCAAGGTGGTCTCCTTCGATTCCGGTGAAAAGGTGCGAAGATTTCGTCCATCATATGACGAGAGTCATCAGAACAAGGTAGAGTATATATACTACTTTTTAGGGATTTGGCGGTGAGTTTTCTTGACTCGTTAGCTGAATTTTGTTGTGACGATGATACCTCGGTAGAATCGACCTTGGAATCTCTTCAGCAAGTGTTTTTACTTGAAATCGAAATTGTCTCAACACTTATGAAACACAAGATTCCTCGAAACCCATCTTTTCTTTGTGTAAACGAAGAAATGTCGGTTTCTTCTGTTCTCACGTAATGAGAAGATGGAATCATGTTGGACCCATTTTTCCGCCATAGCGCATATTTGGGAAGACCTTGGAACACCCAGTCGGTATGGCCTCTTCCGCTATTGCCGTGAAGTCTTCATTCGCAAGCCCATACTCATTAGCAGACTCTTCAACAGCATCGCATTCGGTAACCTGCTTGAGTAGAGTCAGGCTTGGTGTAATACCATAATTTGTTAGCATGACAACGGGTTCCAGTTTATAGACGAGTACTCCCAGCACTCATTTTTTCTTTTGATGACTTAATTACTCTGCTGAAGTCTGCTATCGGTCAGATAATCGAAGAAGTATGAATCAGAGGAGCACTAGGCTTTCAGATATTCCACTTTCAACTGGCTTCTCATTCAACTGAAGACGAGTCTTTGCAAGAAGAATTACAGGCGAGTTCAAAACTGCCGTTCATTCTGGATGAGAATACATTTTTGGAAAGCAAGACTATGTAAAATTCAGTGGAAACAGAAGGTAAAATCATATGATTGTTGGAAAATTTAACTAGCCGTCCTTCATTACTTTAAAGGAAATAGGGTCAACGCAAAACGACTCTTCAGCACATTTGAGGAGTAGACTCGTTTACAGTTGAAAGTAATTCTTTTTGAAATCAACGAATATAACAAAGCGAGTGGAAAATGGTTTTGGAAACATATTTTAATGCTGTTCTGCTTCGGTAGAAAAAGTTGCTTAGAAGGATTTCGTGAACTGGCCTCCCCAGTAACCGAGAGGATTGCATCAGAATGAAGTCTGATGGATTATGTTAAGCTTTCTTCGGCTCACCGATTCGCGACTCCGATGAACCCATGCTGAGCATTCGTCTGCCATGTGACCGACATTGTGAGGGCAAGAAACCGTAATTTACAGAAAAACCCCTGAACAATGATAAAAAAATTCGCATAGAAGTGTTTATTGCTCAGATAATGACTATCACATGACAGACGAAAGCTTAGGACGGGTTCATCGGATCGGCCGGCCGGTGAGCCGAGGACTTATTTGTTCAACACAACAGTATTCACTGTGAGGCGATTCTCCCATCTTTCGTATGTAACTAGACTTTCCTCCCATCTTCTCCGGTGAGGCGATTCATGAAAACTTTCAAGCCTTGTAAATGAAAATATACGTTAAATTGGTAGAAAATGTCATTAATAGTCATATGAGATGAATTCACCCAATTTCGCTTGAGGTGATAAAGGACTGGTAGAAGAAGAATTTTCCCACAATCATATGAGTGTGTAGGGAAGAGATATGTAAACCCGCATCATCAAAAATTAACGGCGTATTCTCAATTGCCTGTCGTCATCTTCTGTTGATACCCACAACTTTATATCACTCAAGTTACACAAAATTAGAGCCAGCTAAAGATTGATATATCAGAAGTTATTTAAAATCAAGTTTTCTCCGTTTATAGAATAAAACAACATCAGATGACAAAGAATATATTTTAGGAGATGCATTTAAATCGAGATTCTATTGTAGGTCGTCTTCAGCGTAGGAGTCGACACAGAATAAGAAATATGAAATGTATACACCCAATTTCGCTTAAGGTGATGAAGGATTGGTAGAAGAAGAATTTTCCCACAATCATATGAGTTGAGCTGACGTTTTCATTCAATTTCACATAGCCTTGCTTTCCCAAAAGTTGTTCTCATCCAGGCACCAGTCGACTGCAGTTTCTACCTCGCATCGGTCTTATCAACACACCCAGCGAGAGTCGAACCGTGACAGTACAGAATGTGAGCTTGACACGTTCACCACTCGGCCACAGTGCCCTTGGGTGACTGGACGAATGTGAATTTCATATCATATTCTTTGGTGGGATTGTCGATGAAGTAAACGTATATTTGCTATAACAATCGACTACCATACTTTATTTTTCGCATTCAGTATTGTTTCGAGACTACCAGTAAATCAGTAATATGAGATGTATTAACCCACTTTTGTCTCGAAACAATACTTAATGCGAATAATTAATAGTCCTCATGAAAACGCAAAAAAGTTGCCAAATATCTGTACAACAATCTTCACATCATCCAAACTTGATCGAATGTATAGGCCAATGTATCAAAACCCTTGACAGACTGCCGTGTGAAGTAAGGAAAAGCAGACTTTCAGCCTGCTCTGAGGTGGGTTAAAAATGTTTCT